TTTTTTTTTGAGTCAGGGTCTCACTCTGTTACCCAGGCTGGAGCATAGTGGTGTGATCAGGGCTCTCTGGAGCCTTGACCAACTCCCAGACTCAAGCAATTCTCCTGCCTCGGCCTCCTGTGTCCGTGCCACCATGCCCAGTTAACTTTTTTATATATGCTATAGAGATAGGGTTTCCCTATATTACCCTCACTGGTCTCAAGCTCTTGGACTCAAATAATCCTCCCACCTCAGCCTCCCAAAGATTATAGATACAAGCCACCATACCTGGCTATGATCTTATATAAGTTAAAATTCTTCAGGCTCAGGATAGCCTGGCAATATCAAACAAGGAAGTCTGCCATGAACTAATATACCTTAAGAGAAAATGGGACCTAGGAGAAAAAACTCTGAGCATGAGGGCAGATCAGCTGAGTTCTAGCTCTGGCCTTGGCAGTGACTTGTTGTGTGACCAGGGACAAGTCAGTACCCTCTGAAGATTTTCCACATTCTTTTGAGCTATAGCATACTGTAATTTGCTTCCCTGAGCCTTGTCCCTCCCAAAACAGTGTTGTACCACAGCATTTTCTTCTCCATATCCAGGATCCCTTCCTCAGAAGATATTAGAATAAGGAATCTACTTTTCTGTGGGGCCAGTAGTTTGGCTAATAGTGCAAAACATTCCAGGCAGCCAGATTATGGATGAGGGATGCTCAGGGAAGCACATCCTGGGTAGCAGAACTGCCAGATGCTCCCTCAACTACACCAGGCCTAGTGCCACTAGAACCTGAAAGGGGCTGCCCTAATATCCAACAACTTTATAAAGTCATCAGTACCCATCTAACACCCTGACAGAGGGAAACCACTAATAATGGCCTTATAGGCCAGGCACAGTGGCTCAGATGGGTGGATCACTTGAGGTCAGGAGTTCGAGACCAGCCTGGCCAAATTAGCCAGGTGTGGTGGTGTGGGCCTGTAATCCCAGCTACCCAGGAGGCTGAAGCAGGATAATCACCTGAACCCAGGAGGCAGAGGATGCAATGAGCTGAGCTCATACCACTGCACTCCAGCCTGGGGTGGAACAAGACTCAGTCTCAAAATAAAAATAAAATAATAATAATAATAATGGCCTTATAATTCTGTGTTTAAAAACTGAGAAAGAAATTCCAAAAGCTATTCCCTATCTCTAAAATAAAACAAATTCGGTGACACTAAACACCTCCAGTAACAACAGTGCTCCTGGATCATCTTCAATTATTTGGGAAACACCACTGAGGCCAATGCTGCCCCCTTTTCTAGGTTCTGCAGACTGAGCTCTTTTTAAGTTTTCTAAAGTAGCCTTACAAACTTGAAATGTAATCACCTTTGCACTTGTATTCTCCCATTTTATTCCTATGGATTAAAAATCCTCACAATTCAGACATATAAGTTGGAGAATGAAAAAAAAAATTTTTTTTAATCCTTACAACTAATTTGTAGATTGAGAATTATCATTGTAATTTTGAAGCTGAGAAAAAAGAAAGGGAGAGACTTGTCCAAGGTGACAAAGCAAGTCAGTGGCAGAGTTAGGATAAGAATATAGTCTCCTCGTGTCCAGACCAGGGCCCTTTCCATGAGACTCCATTCTATCAGAATTGCCTGTATATCTTCTAACAGAATCTTATCGCTCATGCATGCGATCAAAGCACTGTAGCAAATTAGCCCAAATATACCCAGTTTGAGCTTATAAACTCATTGAGGAATCAAGTTCAATTCTTAGTAGGCCTGATCCATGTATTTTTTTCAAACTTTAAAAACCAAGCGCTTAAGGGTAGGTGTGATCTCCAGCAGCGTATTTTCCTGCACACTCTGGCCCTGACTCCTTACCTGTCCAAGCAGTGTGGGAGAGGTAAACCTGAGTGATGAGTCGGTGCCGCCCTGGGCCAGGATTCCGGAAGTCTGCAGGCTTGGGGTGAATCAACTGAGCCTGGCCATCTGGATATAAGACCTAAAAAGAGGCAGAAGAGAGAGGAGTGTTTAACAAAAAAGATGATGACATCTGTTGTGAACCTCAAAACACAAGAAAGATGACACCAACTTTCCTAAGACTGCGCCTTGAGGGGAGGTCAACACTGTAGACGTTTCTATTCCCCTGCTCCAGCAAGAAGTAGTGTTCAGTAAACATTTCCTGAATTCATGGTGAATAAGTAATATGAACACAGTGTTTCTATTAAGCGCAAGGAGAGGTAAGAATATGAATTCTGACTATGAAAAGTGTTCTCTGGAAGCTTCACCAGAGGAGCACTCCTTCCCTGGCTGAATCATATCATGGCTCATCATCCATCACCAACCAACGGTATTTGGAGTTATTTTGCAACTGCATTCTCTCCACTAGATTTGAAGCAGCTAGGAAGTCATGTATCTGTTTCTTTCTACAGAGAGAATGCTCAGTGAAGAGTCCACTGAAATACATTGGCTGGTTCTTCAAGTCTCACAAGCTGCGAGAGTTCTTTCCTTAGCATCCTGGGGGACCTCCCAGTTCCCTGCGTAGACAGCCTACCACACCGTAGCGTACAAAGGAACTAGAGGAACAAATTAAGCTTATCCTAGGACCAGAACCTGCTCTATGTAAATATACTTGTGAAGGCAGAGTAGGGAACCACACAGGTCTTTCAATGTTGAAACTGTGGAAGGCATGTCCCACCCACTTAACTTATAATCCTTCATCTCTCCTGAGGTCACAGGGCCTCCCCTTGATTCTGCTCTTCTTTTTTTTAAGACAGGGTCTTACTCTGTCACCCAGGCTGGAGTGCAATGGTATGATTATAACTCACTGAAGCCTCAAACTCCGGGCACAAGTGATCTTCCTGCCTCAGCCTCCTGAATAGTGGGGATTACAGGCATGTGCCACCACGCCAGGTAATTTTCTTTTTAAACTTTTTTGTAGAGGATCTTGCTATTTTGCCCAGGCTGGTGTCTAACTCCTGACTTCAAGTGATCCTCCTGTGTCAGCCTCCCAAAGTGTTGGGATTACTGGCATGACCAACTGGGCCTGGCCTACCCTTATTTCTTTTTGTTTCTTTTTTGAGACAGAGGCTTGATCTGTCGCCCAAACTGGAGTGCAGTGGTGCAATCTCATCTCACTGCAACCTCTGTCTCCTGGGTTCAAGTGATTCTCCTGCCTCAGCCTCCCGAGTAGCTGGGATTATAGGCGCTCAGCATAATGCCTGGCTTATTTTTATATCTTTAGTAGAGATGGGGTTTCACCATGTTAGTCAGGTTGGTCTTGAACTCCTGACCTCAGGTGATCCTCCTACCTCAGTGTTGTGATTACAGGCATGAGCCACTGTGCCTGGCCTACTCTTATTTTTTCAAGCTGCTACTTCCCACTCTAGTTCTAGGCTCCAAGCTCCCAAGCCTGCTATAGCAGAAAGATGCAGATGTCTCCATTTCTTGATCCTTATTATCTTTAAAGACAAGTGCTTGGGTTTCTTTTTTTTTTTTTTTTTTTTTT